AACATTTATGGAGTGAGGCTCATATGTTTTACCAACTGCTTCATTTTATCTCTTCTAAAACCTATAATAGCCATGTGAAGTAAATAGTATTATTCTGAGTTTTTAGATGCGGAAAGCGAGGCACAGGTAGATGAACTTGATCAAATTTCAGACCTTATCTCAAGTCAAGATTTGCCTTATTTCAAAAACTAATGCTCTTAACTTCTGCAGCTATACTTCTTCCACTGTTCATTAGCCCTTCTTAAAAATTTGTGAAGAAAAGGAGTCAAGAAAATCCAGAAACGCAGAGTTCGAAAGATCAGACTTTCAGCCTGTAGAGATGCTGTCTCTAAGAACTGTCATCAGATACATAGTGTTCCAATGGCAAGGCACAGAAATGAGTTCTGAGTAACATTGCCTCAAGCATGAACTCCCCCTGCAAATAATGGATCTGGTGAGTTCCTTTGAAAGGCGTCTTTTTTCGTGGTTGTGAAATGGGGCCTGTTTGGGGAGGGGAAACCAGCAGGAGGAGGGAGGGGAAAAGAGAGGGTAATGGAGGCTTAGTACAATTGAAGTACACTGTATATATTCATGAAAATGGCATAATGAAACCCACTGTAAACTATGTAAAAACAGGGGGAGGAGGGCAAAGAAAGAGTAATACAGATGCTGACTTTCATCAAAGCACATCATGTTCATGTATGTAAATATTACAATTAATTTATGATAAACACAAATTAGAAAAAGAAGGGTATTGTTTTACAGAGTGGGAAGAATATTTTGAAAGCATAAGATTATGCATGTTGCACTGAAACAAGCAAAATAGAAAGAAGAGTGGAGAAATGGAAAAAGAAGTAGAATTTCACGTGTCTTTGCAAGGTCAACATAAGGGTCATGAGAATTTCCTAAAAGTTGTCCATGGAAGACCATCCCCTGAAAAGAAGCTTATCAATATCTTGGACAGAGCCTGCAGTCTAAGTGCTGCTCTTTGCCCCAGCACCCAATGAGCCAAGTGTGCCTTGTTGTTTACACTAATTTTCTAGGATGCCTCTCATGTTGTAATTTTTTAATTTTGAAGGTATCCTTCTTCTGATTGAACCCTAACAATTTCAGAAGCCTTATTCATATTCTGTGGTACAGAGGGCACAGAGAAGTGAGTCATTAAAACACTTTTACTCAAAGCCACCAACTTCCATTCCCAGTCAAGAAGCAAAGCTGCCAAGTGAGTGGAGCTACATCTCCTGGAGTCACTGATCACCCTATATTTTGTAAATACACTTCCCGTCATCCCAATAGCAAAGACCCATCACTTTCTCTTTGCTTCTTTAAGAGCTTTGTTTTGATAGGTGCATTCTATACACTTGTAGTATTTCTGAAAAATCTACACTAACAGCTCATCAGTTTTAGGAGTTCACACATACTAACACTGTAAATTTAATCTCCAAGTGGTAAATCAATCCCTTTATAATGCTCCATTACATCTTAGAAGTAGGTTTGGGGAAATTCTGGTTGAATGCATAGACTACCTCAAGGTTAGTGATTTCGTTATCCTCTTTCCTCAGATGAGAAAAGTAACCTCAGAGAATCACAGTTTTGACTCTTCCACCTTACAGTGCATTAGCTGCTTGTATTGGTTCCTTACCCACAAGCCCAATATAGAATTAGCAAAGGGAATACTGTAGGGGACCAGTGTGCAAAGTAAGTGGCCAAATACAACGGAGTTCCTGTGGGAGCAATTAAAATGTCTCCTGTTTCTTCTTTCCCTCCCTCCCCCCACCTCTCCCTCTCTGTTTTACTCCCTGTCTCTTTTCCTTTCTCTCTCTCTCTCTCCCCAATTCACACATACATGTAAGAGACACCAGTGCCCAGTTAGCTCTTTTTTTTCTTTTGGTAGTACTTGGGTTTGAACTCAGGGGCTCACACTTGTTAAGTAGGCACTCTTACCATTTGAGCCACTCCATCAACCCATTGCTCATTTAAGACACAATCTTTCCTTTAGAGGAAGCAGAAAGTTTTTCATTAAAACACACCAAGGACTATGTGGTCTGCCCCTTGACTGAAGTCACTTTGCCTGTAATCATGTGGGAAATGAAACTTAAATAAAGGGTAGCAATGGAAAAATGAAAGTTCTGTGGCTCTGTCAGAGAAACTCTCAGAGACTGGTCTATATTGATTCATATGCTCAATTTATTTTTAAAGCAGCATATACATTTTCTCTATGCAATTATATATATTTCCACCTCTGAGATCTATAATGCATTCAGAATCTATGGAACTAGCATGGCAATTCTGCTTGATATTCATCAACTTAATTACTACAAAAACATTTTATGTTTTTTGTTTTCTGGGGTTTGAATTCAAGGTCTTACACATGCTAGGCAGACACTTTGCCACTTGTGCCATGCCCCAAACATTCTATGTTATTTTTCATGAGTACCTAGAAATGCTTATTGTTAAAACATTTAATTAAGGGAGCATACACACTAAAGGGTAGTTTGAATGTCATGTGTGTGCATAGATTCATGTGACTCTTCTATGATTCTTGGCAGCAGAGCTTAAAAATAATAAAAAATATATAATTTCATTTCATTATGTATACATATATTCAAACATCATGCTGTATACTGCAAATGTAAACACTTATATTTATCAATTATACTCCAATAGAGCTGGTGAAAATCCTGATTTAATTTTTTTGTGGCACTAGCATTTGAAATCAGTGACTCATGTTTGTTATGCAGGCATTCTTACCACTGAAAAACCTGATTTAAATGTGAAAATTGCAGCCCAACTTGTAATTTTATGTTATCTAGATAAATATTTGCGTGATCTGATGTAATCACATTCCTCTTCCCAAGCTGAATTAGGTCATGGTATGTGTTTAGATGCAGTTTGAGGAAGTCATCAGAGACAGTGATAAGGAAAGGGCTCCAGGGTTCCTGCCGCCTTGAGATTATGCTTCTGACATGTAATGACTAAGACCTCATAGATCTTTGCTTTGAACATATTCTGGAATAGTGACAAAAGCATGATCTGAGTGAATCACAAGAGACAGAAAAGGAAAGGATATTTTTGTGTGAATTGGGTTATTAAGTGCTTTGTGGTGTGCGTCTTTCTTAGGCAATTTCATAAAGAGAAGGCTAGGAAGACTTGAGAGCAGAGATACTTGGGTAGGACTTTATGCTTAATACCTTGGCTAGTGTGAATTATTCTTAGAATTTATATGCTTGGGGATTTAACTTAGTATTGTAAAAATCACACTTGGTTGATCAGGTGGCAGGGAACGGCAAACAGTTGAGACAGTTGTTCATAAGCATCATGAATGCTGATAGGGCCAGGAGAGATGCAGTGAGGGGCATAAATAAAGTTAGTCCTCAGTGTTCTCTGTGCTGTCCTAATTTTCCATTGGTATCCTAGTCTTCTTGGTCTGATCCCATGTACCAACTCTCAAAGGTTTTTATCTTTAACCCTTATTTTCTTTTGATCTGAACTCTCCTGTACTTTATCTCTCATCCGCTTCACAGTGACTGTTTGATTTTTATAAATAACAAGCAAGCCTATTTTTCATGGTTGAAAGCTAGTAATTTTAAGATGATGGATGTTTTGAATTCAATTTATATTCTATTTTCTCCTTTCTCATTTTTTTTTTAAGTAAGAAAGACTGTGACCATATGGGGAAGAGTATGACAGGCCAATGGGGTGCAGAAGATTCATTAGACAGAGCAGTAAAAGTGGTATTAATAGTGTCATTTGACTTTCCCTAAGCACGTGCTATCTGCTAGATATTTCATATTTCATGTATATTATCTCACTTTAATCTTACAATAATTCCATGAGATGGCCGTTGTAAAGATCTTTGTGTGGAAATTAGAGATAAGGGCAAAACAGTATCTGCTTGGAAGTGAGGGGGTGGGGGGAAAGAGAGGGGTTGAGGGGGGGAAGGGGGGAAGTAATGACCCAATCATTGTATGCACGTATGAATAAAGGAAATAAAAAAAAAGATCTTTGTGTAGGTAAACAGTGACCTTTGGGTAGTGGAATAATTTGTTTAGACCTAGTTTCTGAAGCCAGGTCTGTACAGTTCTGAAAGTATACCTCTGTTGCCTGGCTTTACTACTTTCACAGACAGTAATACCAGCCTGTAGCCTATACTGTTGTTTAATAAATACCAACAGTTTGAAGAATAGACTGGTTAGAGTTTTTTTAAAATCTTCTCTCTCTCTGGTCCCCTCCTTCCACAACAGTAGGAAGACAAGTGAATGGTGCCCAACCTGAGACTAGCCTTATTAAAGCTGCAGAGGGAGAATCAGTCATTGAATAGTAGAAGTCAATTACCCATGAGTAGGATCTCTGAGGTTCTGCATTTTATTAAACTCATCATGAGAGTGTGATAAATACTTTTAGACCATTGCAAAAAAATCTTCCTAAGCTATTCTCAATAGAAATCCAGGAGGACAATTTTTGTGTGCATAAGACATTCTCTTTAACACATGAGTCCATTTAGAGTTTAAGCACAGGCCAGTTTCTTGATCTGTGATAGGTCACCCACACCCAGTGTATGTGTACTTTAAGGCACTGACCATGAGATCCATCTAGAACTGCATTACAGTTTGGTATAACAGAGCCAACCATGCAAGATGATGCATTTATGTGGCAAAAACAAATGGTTTGAGTATTGATGACATCTCTGTAATTAACTTGATTTAAGACCTTGAAAAAAATCACTTTTAAAAATCTGGGATTTTGTTTCCTTATGTTCTGCTAAGCTGGACTTATAGTTGTTTTGATTGACATATTGTTACTTTGGGCTCTGAATAAAAATCAGTCAGTTAAATCCTGCAACATGTTACATCATGTTGAACAGAAGTTTGGATTTTCAGTTACATATTAATTTAAAGAGTAAGAAAAAAGGAAACAGTTACATAGAAAGTCCAGTTGGATAGATAACCATGTATTTGAGTTATGAATCTATGGAAAACATAGAAAGAGTGCTTAGTGATAAAGAGTTGGGGGTTCTTTTTCTATTCCCTTTCAGAAAGCATAAGTTTTCTCTTCAGTCTCCTCATGGCTAACTTCATCTCATGGTTCCTCAGAGTGTAGATCAAGGGGTTCAGCAAAGGGGAAATGACAGTGAAGGTGACAGAGATGGCCTTATCTGTGGGGAGGGCAGTGAAGGGCCGAGCATAGACATAGATGCAGGGTACAAAATGCAGGGTCACCACAGTGATGTGGGAGGTGCAGGTGGAGATGGCTTTCCTCTTGCCCTCTCCTGCCTGAGACCTTAGCATCATTAGGATGGCTGTGTAGGACACAAGCAAGAAGATAAACCACAATGTAGTGACCAGACCATTGTTGGAAATCATCAGGAGCTCAAGGACAAAGGTATCAGTGCAGACGAGTTTGAGGACTTGGGGGACATCACAGTAAAAAGTGTCAAGAACATTGGGTCCACAAAAGGGGAGTGGGAGCAAGAGAGAAATCTGCACAATGGAGTGGACAAAGCCCCCCACCCAAGAAGCTGCAATGAGGGCTGTGCATCGCCCCCGACTCATGATGGTCACATAGTGCAGGGGCTTGGAGATGGCTATGTAACGGTCAAATGCCATCACAGAGAGAGAAAAAATGTCTGCCCCACCAAGTAAGTGGAAGAAAAACATCTGTGTCATACAGTTCGCATAGGATATGGTCTTTTTCCTTGATAGAAGATCCACCAAGCCCTTAGGAGCAGTGATGGAGGAGAAGCAGATATCTAGGATGGCTAGGTTGCGGAGCAGAAAGTACATGGGGGTGTGAAGGCGAGACTCAGAGGTCACAGTGACCACGATGAGGAGGTTTCCCACCAGAGTTGTCAGGTACACAAAACCCAAAAAAAGGAATAAAATCAAGCTCAGGTCTTGGGTCCGTGTAAGCCCCAGAAATATGAATTCTTTTATTCTGGTTTCATTCGACAACTCCATTGAACCATGTTTCCCCTTCCTTGTACATCTTGGAAAATAACAAGAGTGGTGTTTCAGAAAGTGTTTATTCTTCCTCAATGAATTCAGGTTTATAGTCAGGTAACAAGTCTGAACACTCATGAAGGGTCATCATCCCATGGATTGCCACTCCAAGATTATTGCTACTGTGTCCAAAATTACATCTGTAGCACAGTTAATTATTCTTTCTTCTGTAAATAAAAAATGTTTTAGACAACGTATAAAAATAATATTCTAACTGTGAGTTTTAAGAGTTTAAGATAGAAGTGAATGATAAATATTCAGAAATGGACCTTTTGGGGTGTGAGATATAAAATGGAGTTCATTTTTTATGTGAAATAAGCAGTGTGTATGTAAGATGACTAGACCACTTTGTGTTCCACAGGGATATTTGTTTTCATTTGTATGGTTCTGGGAATCATTATCTGCACATGATGTCCTTTGGATTGAAGTTTTCGAAACACTCCCCCCCTGCTTTTTTTTTTTTTTGGTGGTACTGGGTTTTGAACTCAGGACCTCACACTTAATGGCAGCTATTCTACCACTTGAGCCACTCCACCAGCCCCTTTATTTGTGTTTGTTATTTTGAAGGAAGGTCTTGCCAACTTTTTGCCCAGGCGGGCTTTGAACCTTCATCCTTCTATTCTTTGCCTCCTGAGTAGCTAAAATTATAGGCACAAGCCATTGGCACCCAGCTCCCCCTCCAATCACAAATGTTTCTCTATAAAGACCTAAAGCCAGAATTTCTTCTTTATTTGTTCTTAAGGGGATTCATTATTTCTACCTTTACTTCACTTGACTACCAAAACACTTGGATAGTGGCTAGCTTCTCAGCCACAGGATAAAAGTATTACTCAGAATTTTTCTTCTGCTAATTATTTTAATTTCATTCTTAAAAACTAGTTATTTTATTGATCTATCAGTGACATATAAGAGACTGCATATATTTGAAATGTATGCTTTGATAAATTTTTGTTTGCAATACTGGAGTTTGAACTCAGCTCCTCACACTTGCTAGGCAAGCACTCTACCACTTGAGCCACTGCACCAACCCTTTGATAAGTTTTGACTTAAATATGCAGTCAGGACACTACTAAGATAGTGAACATATTTACCACTACAAACGTGACCTTGTGATCTTCTCCACTGGGTCTCCTCTCCCTTTCCTTCTTTAGACAATCACTCAAACACTTTGTCATTATATATCAGTTCATATTTTCTATAAATGGAATCCCACTCTGTGTACCCTTTCCTGGTCTGGTTTTTTTCACTCATGAAATTCGTTCATGTTTTTGTTGTTTTTCTGCTTTGCTATTATTGGTTCCTTTTATATATGTGAATACCCACATTTATCCATTTTACTTAGTAGATGAAACACCTCCATTGTTTCTAGTTTTTTTGACTATTACAACTAAAGCTACAACCATATGTTTTCATTTCTTATGTAATATCTTAAGAGCAGAATTCTACAGTTCTCAACTTAATTAACAAAAAAACACAATCCAATTTATAAAAGGACAAATTATTTGAAAAGTGATTTGACAGGGAAGATAAACATTTAAAATAAGTACATTGAAAAGATGCTCAATATGTTTGTGAATGGGGAATATGTAAATTAAAACGCAAAGTATAAATTAAAAACAATCTAGACCTATTAGAATGACTAATATAAGAACAGTGAACATCGAAGAGTGGTTTTAGAAACCCTGTTAACCTAGTGAGAATGTAAGAATGTCAAAACCACTTTTGAAAATAATTGGACTTAAAATGCTAAACATTACTTACATGTAACAATGTGCTTTTGTTTCTGTTCCTTACCTTTTTTTTTTTTCTTTTATTTCTTTTTATATTCATATGTGCATACAAGGCTTGGTTCATTTCTCCCCTGCCCCCACCCCCTCCCTTACCCCCACCACCCCTCCCCTCCCCCCCTCAATACCAGCAGAAACTATTTTGCCCTTATCTAATTTTTGTTGTAGAGAGAGTATAGCAATAATAGGAAGGAACAAGGGTTTTTGCTGGTTGAGATAAGGATAGCTATACAGGGCATTGACTCACATTGATTTCCTGTGCGTGGGTGTTACTTCTAGGTTAATTCTTTTTGATCTAACCTTTTCTCTAGTTCCTGTCTCCTTTTCCTATTGGCCTCAGTTGCTTTAAGGTATCTGCTTTAGTTTCTCTGCATTAAGGGCAACAATGCTAGCTAGTTTTTTAGGTGTCTTACTATCCTCACCCCTCCCTTGTGTGCTCTCGCTTTTATCATGTGCTCATAGTCCAATCCCTTGTTGTGTTTTGCCCTTGATCTAATGTCCACATATGAGGGAGAACATACAATTTTTGGTCTTTTGGCCAGGCTAACCTCACTCAGAATGATGTTCTCCAATTCCATCCATTTACCAGCGAATGATAACATTTCGTTCTTCTTCATGGCTGCATAAAATTCCATTGTGTATAGATACCACATTTTCTTAATCCATTCGTCAGTGCTGGGGCATCTTGGCTGTTTCCATAATTTGGCTATTGTGAATAGTGCCGCAATAAACATGGGTGTGCAGGTGCCTCTGGAGTAACAGTCTTTTGGGTATATCCCAAGAGTGGTATTGCTGGATCAAATGGTAGATCGATGTCCAGCTTTTTAAGTAGCCTCCAAATTTTTTTCCAGAGTGGTTGTACTAGTCTACATTCCCACCAACAGTGTAAGAGGTTCCTTTTCCCGCATCCTCGCCAACACCTGTTGTTGGTGGTGTTGCTGATGATGGCTATTCTAACAGGGGTGAGGTGGAATCTTAGTGTGGTTTTAATTTGCATTTCCTTTATTGCTAGAGATGGTGAGCATTTTTTCAAGTGTTTTTTGGCCATTTGAATTTCTTCTTTTGAGAAAGTTCTGTTTAGTTCACTGCCCATTTCTTTATTGGTTCATTAGTTTTGGGAGAATTTAGTTTTTTAAGTTCCCTGTATATTCTGGTTATTAGTCCTTTGTCTGATGTATAGTTGGCAAATATTTTCTCCCACTCTGTGGGTGTTCTCTTCAGTTTAGAGACCATTTCTTTTGATGAACAGAAGCTTTTTAGTTTTATGAGGTCCCATTTATCTATGCTATCTTAGTTGCTGTGCTGCTGGGGTTTCATTGAGAAAGTTCTTACCTATACCTACTAACTCAGAGTATTTCCTACTCTTTCTTGTATCAACTTAGAGTTTGGGTCTGATATTAAGATCCTTGATCATTTTGAGTTAATCTTGGTATAGGGTGATATACATGGATCTAGTTTCAGTTTTTTGCAGACTGCTAACCAGTTTTCCCAGCAGTTTTTGTTGAAGAGGCTGCTATTTTCTCCATCGTATATTTTTAGCTCCTTTGTCAAAGATAAGTTGGTTATAGTTGTGTGGCTTCATATCTGGTCCTCTATTCTGTTCCACTGGTCTTCATGTCTGTTTTTGTGCCAGTACCATGCTGTTTTTATTGTTATTGCTTTGTAATATAGTTTGAAGTCAGGTATTGTGATACCTCCTGCATTGTTCTTTTGACTGAGTATTGCCTTGGCTATTCGTGGCCTCTTGTGTTTCCATATAAATTTACAGTAGATTTTTCAATCTCTTTATGAATGTCATTGGATTTTGATGGAATTGCATTAAACATGTAGATTACTTTTGGGAGTATCGACATTTTTACTATGTTGATTCTACCAATCCATGAGCATGGGAGATCTCTCCACTTTCTATAGTCTTCCTCAATCTCTTTCTTCAGAAAGTGTATAGTTTTTCCTTGTAGAGGTCTTTCACATCTTTTGTTAGGTTTACACTAGGTATTTGATTTTTTTTGAGGCTATTTGTAAATGGAATTGTTTTCATATTCTTTTTCGTTTGGCTCATTTAGTGTATAGAAATGCTAATGATTTTTCTATGTTGATTTTAATATCCTGCTACCTTGCTATAGCTATTGATGGTCTAGAACTTCTGAGTAGAGTTTTTTGGGTCTTTAAGGTATAGGATCATGTTCGTCTGCAAATAGGGATATTTTGACAGTTTCTTTACCTATTTGTATTCCTTTTATTCCTTCTTCTTGCCTAATGCTCTGGCTAGGAATTCCAGTACTATGTTGAATAGGAGTGGGGATAGTGGGCATCCTTGTCTGGTTCTGATTTTAGAGGGAATGGTTTTTATTTTTCTCCGTTAAGTATAATGCTGGCTGTAGGTTTGTCATATATAGCTTTTATATGTTGAGGAACTTTCCTTCTATCCTAGTTTTCTTAGAGCTTTTATCATGAATGTGTTGGATCTTATCAAAGGCTTTTTCTGCATCTATTGAGATGATCAAGTGGTTTTTGTCTTTGCTTCTGTTAATGTGGTTTATTTACGTTTATTGATTTCGTATGTTGAAACCACCCTGCCATCCTGGGATGAAGCCTACTTGGTCGTGGTGAATAATCTTTTTGATGTTGTTGCTGAATTCGGTTTGCCATTATTTTGTTGAGGATTTTTGCATCAATGTCATTAAGGAGATTGGCCTATAGTTCTTCCTTTTTGGAGGTGTCTTTGCCTGGTTTTGGGATAAGTGTAATACTGGCTTCATAAAAGTGTTTGGCAGTTTTTCCTTCCCTTTCTATTTCATGGAACAGTTTAAGGAGGGTTGGTATCAGTTTCTTCTTTAAAGGTCTGATAGAATTCAGCAAGAGAATCCATCAGGTCCTGGACTTTTCTTTTTGGGGAGACTCTTGATTGCTGCTTCAATTTCATTTTGTGTTATTAGGTCTATTCAGGTGATTAATTTCCTCATTGGTTAGTTTGGATGATCATATTATCTAGGAATCTGTCCATTTCTTTAAGATTTTTCAAATTTTAATTTGAATATAGGTTCTCAAAATAATTCACTCTGAATTGCTTTCCTGGCCTTCCCATGGTGTTTTTAGTTTTGTTAGTTATCTCCCTTTTGCGATTCTGATTCCTCACTAATTTGGGTTTTTTTCTCTCATTTAGTCATGGTT